CATCCCGGGCAATACGCACACCACACACGTGTTCACACTTACATGCGTGCATATGCACAGTGGCAGTCACACGGATGTGTGTGCACACATTCTCACACACAGTCCGTCTCACACACACACCTCTCTCGATGTCAGCCACGGTGCCCCCATGTGGCCGGGGGACATAGCGCCGTCACAGAGCTCCTGGGAGGGGCTGCCTGGACGGACAGATCACTGTCTTCCTCGAGGGCGACCTTACGGATGCACAGGACATGGCTGCCAATGGCGCTCCGAGACCTGTCTCTAGCTCCCAGACAGGCGGTGTACTGGGACCAGCTCCACGTCCAGGAAACCGCTGGGTGACAAGGCCCCCGGGCTCACAGTGCAGCCGCATCATAGGGACGAGGCGGGCACAGCTCACGGTGCCAGGCCAGCTCCACGTCCAGGAAACCACCGGGTGGCGAGGCCCCCAGGCTCACAGACACAGCCGCATTGCAGGGACCAGGCGGGTACAGCTCACGGCGCCAGGCCAGTTCCACGTCCAGGAAACTGCTGGGTGGCGAGGCCCCCAGGCTCACAGACACAGCCGCATTGCAGGGACCAGGCGGGTACAGCTCACGGCGCCAGGCCAGCTCCAGATGGCCACTGCCCACACCCTACAGGGTTTTGGGGCTCACGGGCCCGGGCACCGCAGCCTCGCCTGCAGCCACTGACCCCACCACTCTGGGTGTGAGCTTTCCCAGTGCCAGGGCCTCAGATGTGGTGCGGCCTTCTCGGGGCCCAAGGGGGGTGCCATGAGGCTGGAGTGCAGAGGTCCCTCCCTAGGCCTCAGCCCTGCAGCATGTGCCTCATGGATCTCAGCCTGAGCCCGAGCCCACGTCGCAGGAGGAAGACACTATGCTGAGTGGGGTGACACCCCGGAGCCCAGAGAACTCCCAGCAGGAACTGCCCCACCTCTACGGCGACAGGCCTGAGGAAGGGCCCGGGTCACCTCCAGCGCCCAGAGCCACTCCCTCCCCACAGTGCCTCGGCAGTGCAGCAGCCCGGGGCCTCCCAGGCAGCGAGGAAGGAGGAGGCCCTGGCTCCTAGGGGTACTCGTTGTTCTCCCTGGGAAGCCCCAGAATGGACGTGGTGTGAAGAGACCAGGAGAGGCAGGGCCCACGCTGGCACACGCTCGGAACAGCCAGGGCGGGGCAGGTGCCAACTCGGCCAGGATGATCTCCCATGTCCATGTGTCCCCGGGGTAAGCCCTAGGCCGGCGTGAACTCCCGTGTCGGCGTGTCCCCGGGCTGAGCCTTCGGCTGGAATGATCTCCCATGTCCGCGTGTCCCCGGGGTGAGCCTCGGCCGGCATGATCTCCCATGTCCACGTGTCCCCGGGGTGAGCCTCGGCCGGCGTGATCTCCCGTGTCAGCGTGTCCCCTGGCTGGGCCCTCAGCCAGCGTGATCTCCCAAGTTCTGCCTGTTTCCGTGGGGAAGCAGAGGCTCTCAACCCGCGTGTGCCAGCTATGCCTACAACCACGTCTGTTCATGCCATGGACAACCACGCAACCTCACGAGGGTGGCCTGCACCTGCCGGGCGGCCGGGCGTGTGTGGCCCGACCCCCACCGCTGCCCATGGGCTGCAC